TTTCCTTCAATATGCCCAGTACTATGTGCAAGGATACTATATGAGACTATCAGAGTAACCCTTCATAATCCAGTTTTCCACTTTAATTTCTGGACAGTACTAAAGTATTTTAGTACATGCGTGGTAATTCAGTGCCGGACTCTTTACTAACACAGTAGTTGAGAAGCGAGCAGAACGAAGTCCTAAGAGATGCACTAAAATGCATAAAAGCTGCAAAGAGATGATAAGAAAAGAAAATGAATTATTAAAATGAATATCATAGACTGCAGAACTTCACTGAGTCTGTTTAGTAAGATATTACTACATATTAAAAAGTAACTGTTTATTAAAGATCCAGTGTTTAGGATTTAGTGGCATCTAGCGGTGTAGTTGCAGAGTGTACTGTTCAACATGGCGGCCTCCATGAAAGGCCACCAGCTGCGTCTGTGGATAAAAACGTAACAGAATTCTTATTTTCAGGTGATTATACAGTAATGAAAACATACCTAAGAATATTGTTGTATATGTTGTATTTTAGTATGTTGTGATTTTCTACGGTTGCTACCTTAGCCAGGTCTCTCTTGTAAAAGAGATTTTTGATCTCAATGGGACTTCCTGGTAAAATAAAGGTAAAATAATAAAATGAGACATTTCAGTTATAAGGTATTTAATGTAACTTATAAGTTAAAAAATTATAGATTTATTATCAGTGCCCCCTGTTAGCTCCACTGGTGAAGCTGGTGCCCCATGTACCAACAGGCTGAGGCCATGGGTTCCACTCCGACCTGTGGCCCTTTGCTGTGTGTCCACCCCCTCTCTCCTTTCCTCTTCAGCTGCCCCAAAATAAAAATAGTTAAATATAAAATAAGTTCATTGAATCTCAACAATAGGAATAAAGAGAAAAAAGTCTGAGATATGTCTAACAATTGCACATTGGTGATATTTAAAAAATAAATAAATAAGAAAAAACAAAACACAGCTCCCCTTCTCCTCTCTTGTCAATATTATTTTGTCAAAGTACTTTTTACCCTTAAACTGTGCTTTCCCCTTTAATGTGTCTTTTTTTGTATTCAAAGCACTACAAATACAAAGCCCTGCCGCTATACAGTGTAGACTAATGTAGATCTAGACACTGTAGAAGTTGTCTGGTCCAGTGCCGCTCTAATTCTCCACCGCCGTCATTTCAGCCCAGAACTCTGTGTGCTTTCTCTCTTCCTCCGTCTATATATGTCTCGGGAGAAGGTGACAAATAAGTAGCCAGACATGTTCGCTCCCTGTTCCCTCGGCCCTCCCCGTGGTACCTCTTCTTATTAGGGAACCAACGGAGGAATTGATCAAACACGAATCCTGCCTCTCTCATCATTACCTGCAGGTACACATCGTCATAACTCAGACAGCAGCCGCTGAGGAGCGGGGGGGAGAGGGGGGGAGAGGGAGGGTCTCTTCCCATGGAGCTAACAAGCTCCTTACAGAGAAAGAAGAGTGTGAGGGCGGTAGGCAGGGGGTGGGGAGGCGAATGTAAACAGGTATAGAGAGGCGAAGGCGCCGGTGGGAGGAGGTGGGAAGATGAATGGACAGGGAGGAAGAGAGAAGTGCTGTAGAGAGTGGGCTTCTGAAAAAAGAAAAAGTATGTGAAAATGGAAGTCAGAAGGGACATTCAGAGATGCTGAAGGGAAAGAGCCGCTAAAAAAGTTAAGAAGGGAATGCGAGGGAAATAGCAAGGTTTGCACAAATTGGCCTAACAAAAAAAAAAGGGGGCTGAGGTGAAGCAGGAGACATGAATTATGCAAGAGGAGATTTGGCTGCAAAGCTTTGCCCCCAACGAGGCACAACGGCTGGGGTTACGCTCAGCTCTGCTGGGGGCTGCGGGGCGGGGGGGAGACACTAGATTACCTCTCATCCATCCTTTACATCTGTTAAGAGGCTTATAGACACGCAGAGAATGTGCTAACACAAAGACTCATCCTGTTTCCTTTTATGGTCATTCCACCGTGTTTCACCTGCAGCGGGAGCAAGCTCTGTCATTTGGCGTGTGTATTTCTCTATGTTCCATCAGAGGATCCACAGGGGTCCGGACACAGGACAAAACTCACTTATGAATTCACAGACGATACTTGACCCCGCCATGGATTGATGGTTGTGACTCTGTTATGAGATCAGCGCTGTGATTAATCTGTGTTACGTCAGTGGTGAAATATGTCAATTGTTGAGCACACAGCTGTTGAGAGAAAAGGGCATGAAACAGACTAGGTGGGCCTTTATTAGTTTTTCATCTTTTCATCTTTAAGTTCTTGTGCTTAAAGGGTTGGTTCACTCTAATTACAGAACGAACAATAACACCAATCTCACACTAAAACCATGGGTATTGATCTGCTGCTATAACAAAGCATTCCTACAGTATTATATTATATTAATATTTTAGGACCTGCGGTTATTTACGTCCAGTGGTGGTGTTTAATGTCAGTGCAGAAAGAAGTGTGTCCTATATGTAGCAACATTGACTATATAAAGATGGACAACATGACAGCTCTCCAAAGGTGAAGCCAAAACATCTTGATCGCCCCCTGGTGGTATAGGTCATAAAGCCTGTTGTCTCCATCCATCTGCCAACATGGTACACGTCTAATACATTTTCCCCAAAGATGGTTTCTGGCATTTTAGGTATTTCTTATCACGCTGATGTATGTTCAAGTGTTAATTTTTTCTTATATGTTTGGTTTTCATTAGTTATTTAAAGCTATAAAAAGGGGGTGACTGACAGCCCTGCTCTGAGTTGAATCGATCAGGCGTCTGGGCGGGATCTCGATACCGCAGCACCAGCATCACTGCTGCGTAGACTCGTGACTGACAGAAGTTTGCAGCAGCCATTTTAGCGATACTATAGCTTGCCTTCCATCACAGACATGTAATTTTTATTTTTATCAAGCATTACCACAATCTTCCCCTAACCTTAACGTAAAGTGTCTTTACCCACCATAACCACAATATTTCCTTAAACTTAATACAGCAGTTGCCATGCGTAAACCTTGGGGAAAGTGAAAGTCATCATTGGTCGTAAAAAGAAAAAACGCAGTTATGCTACAGCTAAGACTGGTGACAGCAGTTTATGCTCGTCAGTCGTCATAGTAACACACTTTCCAGTTTTTGCATGGCAGGTCGACGTGGGGGGAAAAAACCATTATATAGAGGCGTGCTGTAGTATAAAAAGTTTGGATACCACTGGTTTAAAGCCCATTTAGTAAGTACACTGATAGCCAGATGTGTCAGGGTCTGTGACATAAATTGATCAATTATTTCCTTCACAGTAATCAATTTCAGCACGTCCAGTGAAGAAAGGGAAGAAATCCTTGAGCGTTTACAGGTTGGAGAACCTAGACCCAAATCAGTCACAGTTAAGTGCTCATGTGTGAGGAAGAAAGAACTCAGGTCTGCAGGTCAGACACCAGGCAGAAGGTAGTTTGATAACTAACAGCACTTACTGCCTCTGCTAACCCGTACTCAATGGATTCAGGTGCAGGCAGGAAATCTGGGGATAAACCAAGCCTTTAGATTCAGTAGCACTTGGCTCAGTGACAAAAAAAAATCTCCTGCAAAGCTTATACAAATAGTGCTGACCAACCTAACTGACACAGTTGAGTAGAAGGATTTCAAATGTCTCAGCATGTGCTCGTATTGTTGTAGGCAGGTTGCTTTAGGAAGCACATCTGAAGGGTCCTGTGTGTTTGTGTGTGCACACTGGTGCATTGTGGACACAGTGCTGGCTCAGTCATTTCTTTGCCAGCATTGCCTACACGTATCCCTGCCTCAAGTTAAAAAAAAAAAAAAAGTTTACAGGGAAAAAATGGAGTCAAATACAAATGAGCTCTGCAGAAGTACAGCAACCAGCAGCACTTTTAATGGGGCCTTAAAGGGTTCTCAGAGGTAATGTCACAACCTTTCCTCAGTGCAAGTGTATTCTGTTTCTTTGTCCGTTTTTGAAGAGTAGGACATGTACATAAAGTTGTGTATTTGGAGCCCGGGGCTTGCTTCTTTTTCCTCTACTCTCGTTAAGTCTTCCTTTTCCATCTCATTAGTTGAGTTCACAGTGCTTCCCAGTGCCAGCGAGAGGACAAAGATTACGCTTAAAGTAACTCTGCCTTCTCAAATCACATGGGCGCTTTTCTCCAGTCGCTTCTAAAACAATAACTCTTTTATTTTACTGTAACTCATCCCCTGGATTGTCTCAGGAGCAACCCTATGAACAGCCAGCTCAGTGTGTACCGGAAGCGCTCTTTATGAGTTTTATAGTTAGAAGTGTGCCATAGGATATGGAGTTGATGAGAAGCCTGCACCCTGAGAACATTCATTATTTCAATTTCCCATGGTTGTTATTGTGGCACATTTGCTATTCCCTTCTCGACAGAACTGATATTACATTTCTCTGACCCCTTTTCCTGCTGTCATTACCATGTGCTCTTGGTGACCAAATTGAATTTAGACAGAGCAAAAATATACCAGAACTAGATGGAAATGTATTTATGATGCATTAAAGGTCTGGTCAAGCAAATGAGAGAACGCTAATGTGGATATGTATGGAAAGTGTTTGATAAGAAATAAATAATCCCGTAAATTCTCAGAAATATATGAATGAACCAATAATTTGCCAAATAATTTAAATCTTATTATAAATTTAATTGAAATTGCTGTTGGTGTTTCAAATAGCCTTTTTCAAAACATTTGCCAGTTAGGTAGAGCAATGATAATACCAAAGTAATACTAAATTGATGAACTAGTAGCCAATTAAGAAAGAGAACATGAAAAATGACCATATGAAATAAAATGTGACTTGAATTAAGAGTGTCAGAAAGAAAGACAGAGGTTTGAAAGGAGGCATTTTGGGGGGAAAAGTGTGTAATGACATACACATTTCATAACGTTTAATGGTAATGGCTTTGATTTGAATATTATTTTAATAACCACTTCTCATAAAATGTAATCTGCCTTCTTTATTCATCACCCCCTCTCTTCCTCTTTCCTCCCAGCATCAAGATGGTGCTGATGTGGACCAGCGGGGACACCTTTAAAACGGGATACTTCCTGCTCACCCAGGCTCCCGTGCAGTTCTGGACATGTGGCCTGCTGCAGGTCTTCGTAGACTTCGCCATCCTGTTCCAGGTTTACTACTACAGCCGCTACCCGCAGAAACCAGTGTCCCACACCGTCTCCCACACCACCAGTGCCAAAGCCCTCTGAAAGCCCCTGCAAGGTCTCCGAGGACACCAGTGAGGAAACTGTGTAAACATACACGAGCACCAAAGCACCTTGAGATGATGCAGGCTGCTCGCCCTCACCTCCAAGTATACATAAAGACACATACACACCCATAAATAAGGCATGGGTATACACAAACACTTTGTGGTGTTGGTGTCTGCAGCGATGCCTGAAGGACACTTGTTGCAAACAAACTTTTTTGCTTTATTTATCCTACTGACTTCTCCTCAATGCGACAGTATGCTTGTGTCTTGGAATGCAGACTTCTCAAAGAATATATCCTTCAATCAACTTGTGCATGTGGAGAATATTATGCACATACATGAATATATACAGTCTATAAACTGCAGATGTATGCACTGAAATCTGTGCTCAAGGAAATGTGGACCAGCTTTTCTCATCCACATTAGCTGATGATTGTTGCATGGACCCTCTGCCTTAAAACACACATTCAAACATGGCTTACCAGCAATAGAAATGAATGAATCAATAAAATAAAAAAATCTTAATATACAACGTTACTGAATGTACAAAACGGTTAAAAAAACATTTGTTACTTTGTAGTTTTTTTCCAACTCAGTGGAGAAATGCTGGTCAGGCTACCACTTGTTGGACAGATGGTTGCCATGCGCTGTGGCACACAGGCTCAGTCTTGTGGGATAATGGAGGAATCAAACCTAGAGGCAATCAAACGTTACCAAAAGAAGAAAAAAATCCAAAGGCTTAAAGATGCAGGGCAATGGCTTTTAAGTGTCATTGAGGCTAACAGAGTGGTGTAAAAATCAAGCTTTGTAAAAGACATAAGGGCTGTCTGTTCCGCCTGAAGCCAGTATTGCAGGAAGCAAAGGTGTTCAGTTATTGGAAACATCTTCAAACATCAGTATGTTCAGGCTGCGCGGGTTGCCAAATGCCCAAGATTGTTGTAGTGAAGCTGTTGATGGCATTTTGTTTAGAAATTTGATCATTGCTAGCTAGCTACAGCTGTACAGTCTGTATATGAGTTGTTTGGGGCAAATAAACACAGTCTGATCATTCTGATTTAATTTAACATTCATGCTGCATTCAGGCCAGCAGAATGGGAGAAACAGAAAAACTTACCATTATACGACTTAGGAGTGTTTATACATTATTATAAGTTGCTGGTAGCCTTGTGGTCACACCATTTAAAGGTCTGTTGTGTAACATTCAGGAGGATCTATTGGCAGAAATGGAATATAATATTCATGGGTATGTTTTCATTAGCATATAATCACTTGAAAATAAGAATTGTTGTTTTCGTTACTTTAAGATGAAACGTACTATCTACAGAGGCAGCAGATCCTCTTCCATGGAGGCCGCCATGTTGTACTGCCATGTTTCTACAGTAGCCCAGAACGGACAAACCTAACACTGGCTCTAGCTATAGGGGCTTTCGCGTTTTTCCGCAAGTTTGGTGGCCACTGTAGTTATTCCTACATGCTTGGAAGGAGCTCGGTAATTCAAATGGTTGCAATCTGCAACTTCACCTCTAGTTGCCACCAAATCCTACACACTGGTCCTTTTACATTACTGTCTAAACTAGCTACTTTTCTTGTGTATTAGTTGTGTTGCTGTATTAGTTGATATTATATTTTGCTGTCATTTTGCCACCAGTTTGTTGATACTGTAGTTCTTTTTCGCCTGGTGGGAGAAAATATAATAGCTCAGATTTTCCAATACTTCTGACTCAGAATGCTGACTTGGCTGCTCTGAACAATATGAGGTAGACGCAGCATCACTTTGCAATTTTGGCCATCATTCCATTATCTGTAATGATAACAATAACTTAATAAGTTAATTGCTGAGATCTGGGACAGCAGTGACATCACTACAGAGATGCAACTGTCTCAGACATTATTTTGTTGAGTTACAGAGGTTATTGTTACAGCCTCAGCTACAAAATGAGACCCAAGTTGCAATGAACCAGAACTATTCTTTAAGAGAGGTTAACTTCAGGTTTTACGGACTGATATTCTGGAATATCATATCTTCACTTCCCATCATATTGGCTGTGGGTTACACTGACTGGCCAGTTCATTATTTATATTGTGAATCCAATAACATCCCCTGATACCCCCACTCATGACTCCACATGACCGTGTGGTGCTGCTTGGGCCAGGTTGTACTCCTCACCATTTTGTCCCAAGAAATTAATTTCCTGTTCAGAAGGAAAAGCAGCCACATGACACAGTGAAGATTTTCTTTTGTTACTGTTGTTTTGTAATTTTTCTCTGGGGAGGATGGAAATGCCAAACCAGGAGGTGTACGACTGTCAGCCCTTCAGTGAACTGTGTACCAGAGCAGACCTGATTCTGTCCTCTTCTTCCAAGCCTCAAGAACTGGAAGCTTCCCTTTTGTTCCAGTGGGATGTGGCAGGAGTTTTCTATGAATATTTCTTTCCTTACTCTTAAATATACACAAACGATATATGTGGTCGCCATATTTATTTTGTTATCCTTTTCATAATCTTCAAATGCCATTCTAAGATAGTGTACGTCTGTTATTCAGACAGTGGATAATGGATAATGTGAGATACCCAGCAGGTTCTTTTTGTGCTCAACAGGATCAAAATGACCTCAGTGTCTCACTTTATTTAATGTTTTATTCCATGTGTCTGATTTTACTTTTTTTACATTGTGTTTTGTATCATTTGGTTCATTCATTTGATCATGTGAAGGTATTTTTTCCCATCGAAACTGCCAACTTTTGCATCTGTGAGTTCCACACCTAGTTTGTTAACATACCAAAAATATTATTTTCACTGTTTGTTGTGCCATTTTACAATGTTACATCTGTTTGTTTTTCATTTTTCTATTAAAGTGCCAAGACCTTTTTCACAGCGACCATTTTGACATGATATAGTAGGGTAAACAGGTGTTAATGATGATATTAAAGGTTCAGTTCCATTCAGAGTCAGGGTGCTGCTGTTGTGTGTGTGTTGTCTCATTCGAAAAGGCTCCGCGCCACTAAGTGGAACAGAACCTTAATTAGTATTATTGGTAATTCCTGTTTACCCTACTTTTTCATATCAAAATCGCTTCTGTGAAAAAGGTCTATTGTCCACCTCAGTAACTAATGACATCCATCAACACTTGAGGCTGATTAAACACCGAGTTTTGTTGAGAATCTAATGTGGCATTGTCACCCAATAAAGAGGACACAGAGAGACTTGTGCGTCATGCTTTGTCTGACAGAGATGTTTGTGTCAGTGTTGCAGACATCCACCGTTGCTCCCATCAGCGGTGCAGCTCTGGCAGACATCAGTTGTCAAAGGAAGAATAAGCCCCACTGGCTGTGGTCCTTCTTTGGGCTTTGAGCATATCTAAATAATAAGCACATAAATTGTAATGTGCTGGGCTTTCACATCAAGCTCTCCACTGGTACAGAGAGGAGACAGTACACAGATAATAGATGTACCAGCCAGCCAACGGGTAAAAAGATGGATTTAAAAAGGCATTTTCTGAATGCAGAGTTGTTGATGTGACTGTATTAATCTGCTAAACAGAATCATGAGATGAGAAAACCAGCACCAAATAGACTATAGTGTATGAATGTCTTATCTATAGTTCATACATATATATATATATATATAAACAAAACACTTCCAGAACAGTCGACCACATGCTAACAGAAATATATTTAAACCCAATGTCAGGAATTCATCAGCACAACCCTCAAAATGAAATTCTGACTAGTGCTCTGTGGCCCAGGCATTCAGGTGGGTGTAAAAGAGCTTCCCTGTGTGATAACTACTGTAAAATGGCTAGTTACCGACTTTTCAAGTCCCCCAGTGCCTTGTGCTGTGCACGTATTAGCGTTGTGATTCTGCATCAAATAGAAGTGATGTTGAGGAGTCTTGCTCTTCTCTAAGATCATATTTACTGGCAAGAACTTTATATACTAAGCTCACTGACTGCAGTGCTCCCTGCAGAGACTGTCTGGAGCTGCTCGATTGTAATATTTGAGCTTGTGCACTAATTAGTATTTTTGTATTGACAATGGACAATGACTGTATAATTAGGAAAATATCGCTCAAAGCTTAGGTTTATGTTTCGCTTTATTGTTTGTATTTTCAAACACTATGTTTCACTTTTAACGTTACAAGTTAAATTAGACTTTTAGGATGAGGACTAAGGGTTTGGCTGTGGCTGCTGTAACATCACCCAAAACTCTGATATACTGTAATGGACTGGTTGCACAACAGACATTTTAGCACGAAATAGCAGGAAACTCACAGGATGATAGCTGCATTCCACTTAGGGGAGCGCCTGCTATTGTGCATGCTGGTTTCACTGTCACTGTTAGGGACACTAAATGGAACTGAGCCATTGTTACTGTTATTTAGTCCACCTGTGTCTTTTTGGCTTTGACAAGTAAAAATATCTGCCGTGCAGCCAGTCCATAGCATCCAGTAGATGTGCTAGCTGTGAACATAACCCCACAAAAGCATGAATAATATATGATAAACAGTTTATTCTATTCCTTACATTTTGCATTTTTGTTTTTGGTATAATGAATGAATACCACTTCGGCATGTAGAAAAATCCGAAGCTTACGCAAATTAGTTTGTGAAAATAGAGGAGCATTTAGCAGCTAAAGAGCCAGATATTTTCCTCAGAAGTTGCCGCCCAAACCAGAGTTAAAAAAGAGTATAATAGAGAGAGAGAGTATTGGACTTACTTTCTTAGGAAAGAAACACCAAATGAATGTTACTGTTGCCCCGTGTCTGCTGGATGTGAACATTGTTAGCTAATAGGTTAACACTAACACATTTATCCTCGGAGCACCCGGGAACAAGAATCTGATGTCTCCTGTCTAACCTTCAAAATATCCTCGCACTGACTTGTTATTCACATGTAGCATGGGAAACATACTCTGAAGTCATTATAGTCCATAACCACTGAAGGTCACAGCCACAAGGAGGATTCAGTTCTTTTTTTTCTGTTGAGGACCATGATCTTTAGACTGACCTCGCAGCGCTAGCGGTGTGAGCAGGAGAGCCCACTGAACAGGCTCCGAGTCTAAGTTGAACATTCCATTGAAGCACTGTCAGTATTTATCAGATTTACAGTGCATTGTGCCACCATTACTACTGGAAAGAGAATTCATCTATTATTTATAACAGATGTGGAAAAAAAACAGGAACCAAGCTGCAGACAAACCAATTTAGGATGTTCTAAGTGCAGAAGTACAGCACGCACTCTCTTGCAAATTTCAGAGCGTCCTTGTGTATAATAAATTGTTAAATCAAAGCTTCTCCACATGGGACTGTGTTCATTATAATCTTTATTACATTTTTCAAAAGAGGCTGTTCCTCAGGCTATGGATTCATGACGCAAAGCACAAATCCATTTGAGTTGGGTTCTATTCAAACGATGTTTCATTGCACCATCCGCTCCTCATCAAAACAACATTTTCATTTCTTAAAACCTAAATATTGTAGACATAATAGTTTAAAGTGTTCTGTGTAATAGTTCCATGCTTTTTAATGATTCAGTTAATCCAGTGACTGCGATTCAGAGTTGACAGACTGAACATTTCCTTATGGCATATTAAAAATAACTAAATCTAATTTGCACTCTCAAGCATTTGGGCTGTTTTGATGAGGTCCTAACAATTCGGGGAAATGTTTTTTTCACTTCAAAGTAGAAGGCACTCAAGTCAAAGAATGAAGTGCTGTATTTGCAATTACATGAGGAAATCCTCTAAGACTGTGAAAAGTATTTTCAATAACTAAAATGGTTTTAGACTTGAGAATTAGGGGTCTATTGCTTTCACTGCCAGAAGGTGGATGTACAACATTTGGAATCAAACGTGTTTGCTTCTATGAGATGGTTTCATTTGCAATACACTTCAGATTTTTTGGTCCACTGCTACTTTACCCCAATATCTTAGAGGATTGGCACCAACATCACCTCCATCTTAAAACAGATACAGTAGCATAAATCACAGATAATATCCAAAAAGAAAATGAGCACAGTAATTCTAACTTTGGGTGGTTATAATGACCAGAATTGTATAAAGGGTTGGGCAAAAAGACAAAATAATTCAGCAAAAAGTTGCAGTCTCGCACAGTAATTGCACAGCTTAAATGTTTGCGATGTCAAATTATAAACTGTCAGCAAAATCTTAAAATTCCTCTTCAAATTTACAAACATCTGGCCATTGGTTTTTACAATAGATGGCAATTACAAATTTTGACCTGATCATGGTACTACACAGAAGTTCAGGAGGTCACCACAATTAGGAAGTTCCCTTTTTGGCAGTTACTCTTGACCAATGTTTTTCCTGAACAGCTATATCAACCAGCATCGCCATTTTAAACAAAACCAACTTTGTTGTCTTAACTCAAGGTCCACTTACTAGTGTTTTTCAGTACTTTCAATTGCATCTCACATTTGTCTTTAGTGGATAGTTTGCTTGGTTGTTATGGAGATGGTTTAGTGATCTAAGTGTGTAATTTAGGCCATGTGATAGGTGGTGAAAATGCATGGTATATACAGTATATGGAAAAGGTCAGTAACACCAATCTCTGTCCGAAGATGCTCTCTGGTGTTGGATGTGAAGGCCATCCACTGACTCCTGGTCAATGACTTTGACCCCAGTTGTGTAGTGTTCCCTACCACTTTTGCATGTTGTCATAAACCACCCCAGTCTTCTACTCCACTTCTGTCTTTAGGTCAGTTAATGACAAATGAGCTGCCTCCTTTCACTGATATGCAGGTGAAAGCCCTGGAAAAAGCTAGTAAGAGGTCCTTAGGTTAACTACTATTGCCAAGGGCAGATCAAAATGTCATGCTCATGGTTATTTTCACAGTGAATAATTGCTTAACATGCTGTATGGATAGTTGAACATTTTGGGAAATACACTTTTTGGCTTTTTTGCCAAGAGGAGATCTCAAAGACTCAAAGCAAGTGGAAACAGCTCGCCTGGTTTAGTCTTATATGTACTCCTAAAGCATATGTTCTATTACCTTTTGTACAGAGCTAGCTGTTTACCCCCATTTCCAGTGCTAATGCCAAGCTAAGCTAAACACCTGCTGGCTATAGCTCATATTCCATGTACAAATTTAAGAGTGAAATCCATCTTCTCTTCTAACTCCTGGCATGAAATTGAATAAGCGTATTTCCCTGTATGGCTAATTATTCTCTTAAAGCCTCAGCATGTGCTCCAGACAGAGCTATCTAATGACTGTGGCACCAATCCTCTTGTCATTTGCCACTGAGCAAAACGTCCCAACCGACTGTATAGCCCTTTGACAGATAAATTAGTTTTGTGTCATTATGTTGGAGATTAATTAGCTCTGATTCATTGCAAATAAGTGTGCTAACATATCTCATATAATACATGTGTGAACCTTATATAACAGAGTCCCAGGTACAATAAGTTATTTGGTACAAATACAATACAGAGTGAACAGAGATGATATTGCATCATTAATAAACTACATGTCTGACATCTCAACAAACAGCTTTATTTCAGACAGTCCTCTCAAAAGCAGCTACATGAGAAACATTAATTATTAGTCTGAGGTCTGCAAACAACGTGTGATGTTTTAGTTTTTAGATTTCCCTTTTGCACAGACTTATCTCAAGTCTGAATCGCAGTCAATGAGACTAGTGTCTCAGTCACTTTTTTAAAATCATTTTAATTCAGTTGTTTAATCATGAATATTGTTCTGTTGCCCATCTTTTAAAGTCAAATTTGTGAAGAAAAAGGAGCCCTGCACCGCCTCTGTAAAACTTAAGAAACTCAGATACACTCTGGTGCACAAGCGCTTCACACGATCAAAGCCGAGACCTCAAGCTCCAGAAAAGAAAATCTCCTCCCTTCTCACAATCCTGCAGCTTGTCAACTTTGAAGTCCCAGCGCTGGGTCACGGCCTCCTGGGCTGCCACTTAAACGCAGACAGACAGACAGACAGACGTAGCAAGCTAAGTTTGCGTGGACGCTCTAATCTCAGCAGCCCTCTGAACAGCCATGGACTTCCTCCGCTGCACGGATGAGGCTACGGCCTCCGTGATGCCGTGGTAGCTGTCCGTCTCCTGAGAGTCTTCGCTGTTCTGGGACTTGGTGCTGTCCTGCGAGTCCGGCTTCTGCCTCAGCGCCCGGCTCTGTTCCTCCTTCAGCTCCAAGTAGGAGCGAGAGAAGGTGTGAAAGATTGACGTGACGGGGAAGGCCATGAGGAGGATGCCGCTCAGGATGCTGCTTAGTGCCACCACCTGACCGGGGATGCTTCTGGGCACCATGTCTCCGTAGCCGACTGTGGTCATGGAGATGACGGCCCACCAGTAGCTCCCAGGGATGCTAGTGAACTCCTGCTTGGCGCCCATCTCGCTCTCAGCTAGGAACACCAGTGGGGAGAAAAGAGCCATGGCCACGCAAAGGAACAGCAGCAACAGGCCGAACTCACGTGTGCACCTCCTCACTGTCAGGCCAAGTGTCTGCAGCCCTAATGAATGGCGGGCCAGCCTCATCACGTAAAAGATCCGTAGAGCCCGCAGGACTCTGAGAACTAACCCAACCTTCTCCAGGTAGTTGTTCCCTGAGCCTGCAGGTTTCCCTCCCACTGACAGCGAGTCCACAATGAGGGTGATGTAGTAGGGAAGGATGGCCACCACGTCAATGACGTTCAGAGGCGTTCGCAGGAACATACACTTGCTCTGCGTCTGAATGAAGCGCAGCAGGAACTCCAGGGAGAACCAGGCAACACATACCGTCTCCAGCACAAAGATGTTATAGCACCTCTGGGAGCACTCACCCTGCGGGGGAAAAAAAGCACATAAAGACAGACATTAAGGGTTGTGTTACATTACGCTCCAGCAGTAACACCTGTCAGCGTGCGAGACGTGAACTCCAAAAGCGCTTTGCATAAAGGTTACGTGAAGACACAGCACAAAGTCAGTAATTAAGCACCTATTTCAAAGCCTGCTATTTAGTTTGTGGGTTCGTCATTGACAGAAGAGGTTGATGCGTTTGATCTGACAACAAATAGGTGATTATTTTCTTTCACAGAACAAAACACAACAGAGAAGGTTCTGAAAGATTCATGAAATGTAAAACAATGGCTTTGATTATTTCATCTCGAAAAGCTCACTGGCTTCCACATCAAACCTGAGTGATCAAGAGGTGAAAGCTGTAAGAAGTGTAGATGTGCAGGCAGTGTTACGTCATAACCTGTCTTAGATAAGCCAATACTGTGGATTCTTAAGGTTACCACAGCTGAAACATTCTCTATTTAAATGATAATCTGTTTTTTCAAGACTGCTGAAATAGCGTTCATAAATATTTGAAAATATAATTATAAGAGATTACTTGGTTATTAAGTGAAAGTCACCCCTGCAGGATGCTTGGAAAATGCTTTTCATTTTTCTGCATTTTCTCACTCTTTGCTTTTTTTTGCATCAGTTAATTATGTGTGCATTAATTAGGGAGAATTATGAGAATATGTGGAGACAATTGCTAAATAAAGAAAACTTTCTTCAGACTCTTTAAAAACTTTTAAATCTTTCCTCTCGGTCATTTACTGCTGCCGAACAGGTATTTCTAAAGCAGACTTTTCAGACTCAGCCCCCCGTTGTGTTAAGTGGCTCATACAAGACTTTTGAGGTTGCGCAAGAAACATACACATTAGCGAGCCATCGGGCTACATACACTGTGGCTGTAAAGGTCATCTCCAGGTGTGAATGTGCACAAGTGTGAATATATAAGCAAAACACTTCCCTTAGCATTTGCTCCGTCAACAGCTCTGCTCCATGGAGACGGCATTCCCACTGACAGTCACAGGAGAAAAAAAGCCTTCCTCTCAGATTGAGCCTCATGCATTTTTCAGAGTATATACTTAGTTTTGCATGTAGCATGGTTTTTGCCCTTGAGACATCAAATTTTCTAAACCCATTAAGGACCATATAAATCACTGATCGACGGAAGCTGGAGTCGCAGTTTTTCATGAAGCAGCAGCAGTATACTGTTTAAGTGACTGCTTGATCAAAACAATCAGCTAGAATAAGAAAAAATAGTAATAATATTGAGTATATGGACTTGGAAAGTAGTCATCATGATGGCCGATTGATGTGTTATGTGTCTTTACTTACACATTATGCCTTTCCACGGACAGTAAAAGATGATCGGGGTCAGAACTCGCCCCCTGACTGATGGCCTGGCTGTTTCAAGCATACCTTTACTGAATTCTTAGAAGTCTTAAAACTAGTTTGAAATAGGTTCTGCCACAGGCTTTGGGAAAAATGACAGTGGCGCTTCTGTCAGACCTGCACAATGTGGATGTGACAGTGCTGTGTAGTAATTATACCCCAGATGGCAATTCTTGCTAGCTTGTGATTACAAATCATCAAACTTGCAATCCATGATTTCTTACATTGTAATCAGATAAAATACATGGTCTAATAAAAATCTGACACATGCAAAATGTTAAAAGTGGAATTTTGACCATGAAGTATAGCCACAGAGCCACCTACATACGTAGCAAGCCAGTAGTCTGCAGGTAGCCATCACACCTGCTTTAATGCTAAGCAGTCTTTAGATGTAAATTAAATGTCATTACATTCAGGAGGATCTATTGGCAGAATGGGAATATATTTTTCAGAGGTATGTTTTTAGTAGTGTATAATCATCTGACATTAAGAACTGTTGTGTTTTGAGACGTTTTTAAGTACAGAGGGAGCAGGTCCTCTTCCATAGAGTCTGCCATGTTTCTACAGTAGCTCAGAATGGTCAAACCAAGGCTGGCTCTAGATAGGGCCTTGCACATTTTTTTAAGAGTTGTCGTGACCACCGTAGTTTCTCCTACACGCTTCATTGAGCGAAGGGGTTTCAGCTTGCTACAATTATCACTAGATGCCACTAAATTCTACACACGGTCCTTTAAAGTAACATTGATTTCATGAAGCAGAGGCTTGTGGATTTTGCTTTCAGTTTATTTGAACATTGAAGTTTATTATGAAGATGTCTCGCTGTCTTGACATATTTTTGTTGAAAGGTTTATGGTTTTTAGCCATGCTAGCAGAGTTGATCTAGGGATGGAAATGTCAGTTGGTCTGTCCACTTTAGGCCACACTGAAATATCTCGACACTATTGAGACATTTTCTACAGACTTTCATGGTTCTATGTCCGTATATATTCTAATGACTGATGCTAATCCCCTGACTTTTTCACTAGCGCCGCCGTAAAGTTGACTTTTTAGTTCTTATCTGTTAATATCTGGATAACTATTGGATGGATTGCTGTGTAAGTTGGTACACACACCTGTGGTTCCCAGAGGATGAATTGTAACAACCTGGAAAACTCGTGACATTCCCATCAGCCTCAGCTGTATCTTGTGTTTAGTGCTAATTATCAAATGTTAACATGTAACAAGCTAAACATCAACATGCAGGCATTATAACTGTTAGCATGTTATTTAGATTTTAGTGACTGTAAGATTTTACAAGATCTCCTGGAAATATTTCTTAGCAAAAGCCGGTGAAAGAAGGGTTAATGAGTAAAATCCTTTATATACATCACAATAATATTGAGCAGGTTTTACAAATGAGGTGCCACGGAGACTAAAATACACAACCTACTTACTGAGGAACAAAAACAGCATGAGGACATATGAAATCGTATTTTCTATTAGTCAGTCACATCAAGAAGTCTCCACTGGCTGTAGTCCACAGTTAAATTAAAATGAACAATAGGGAGTCAGTTATCTGCCTCAGCACAGCTCCATAGGTCCCTGACCAGCTGCTAAAAAGCCTTCTTAGTTTGAAATGTGTAAGGATAAAATAACGATGAGGTTAACAGCACAGATTGTCAGCTTGGGTTTGAGAAGATTTTAAGCCAAATTGGACCAGAAATGTAAAAACAAAAACACTTTTTGTTCATATTCTTCCTTTTCAGAATGCCAAAAACATTTGGATAGATTATAGAGACAGAATATGATTATATTCAGTAAAACAGCCTCTCCATTCAGTCTGAGCTAAAATATCTATCTGCTAAGTCTTGATCTCATATTGTCAATATCATATTTTTTGTTGTTTCTTTCTCCAGCCCATTAGGATGTCTGGGTTATCAATCCGCCTTTGAGTCCTCGTGCTCCTGTGGTAAACCTTTTAGGGATCTGCAAAAGTATACTTTTTTTTCAAGTTTTCCTAAAATGCAGGGAGATTAAAGCGCAGCGGCACAATCATGAAGCTGAGTGTTTCCGAATTGAGCTAAAATCCACCCTCTAACCACATGCTGTCATTTCATATCCAAAGTAATACGAGTCTGAAGCCAAAAGAAATAAATGTGCTACTGTCCAAATCCTTAAGGAGCTCACTCATTCTCACATGCTAACCAGTATGCTTCACACTTCCTCAGTCATTCTGCTCCTCTGCGTCCACATGGGAGTCTGTCTGCTTGTGACACATTTGCAACTGATACCGTCCCTTTACTTGAATTTGACCAGCGTGTTTGGATTGTTCTCTGTCAGAGGCTTTCTGGCTGAGTGCATTTTCCGCTCCCTCCCGCCCATTCTCCACACTGAAATGCCTCTGATGTATGCGCAGAGGATCAAATTAAAAGCACACAATTATCCGTCTCAGCGATCAGGGGACTCTGACCCTGTCACAGCTGAAGACAAGCATGTAAACCAAACAGTGCAAAAAGCGACGGCTCACCTCTGATAGAGACAGATAGAGCTGGAGTGGGTGTGATTCACAAACAGGCGGACTTCGAGTGGTTTTGTCTTCGGCACACCCATGCTTTTAATGGATTGATTTACCGCTCTCATTGGTTCACCTCACTGGGCTCTGCTGTGTGTACTCAGTGTGTGTGTGTGTGTGTTTGTTCTGAGGGCCAGATTGAGTTTCAACACTTTTTCCCTCTCATCCAGAGACCATCTTGAAATGCTTCTTCTCAAAGCAAGAATCTTATTACAGAGCGATTACGGGATTGTGAGTGAATCCTCATGATTTTAAGGTCAAGCAAGTTTGATTTCCATCCACAAGAAGAGATGGCAGACTTTATGATAGTATAGACTATAAACACAAAGTCTAGGTTGTGTTTTCAGTGTTTAAATACAGTGTGCAAAAGCAAAGAAGAGCTTCATTGGTTTAAAAAAAACTGCATCTTATTTTGCGGTTGACACAATTGGATGTTCTCACACATAAAGCGATCAGCTGCCATGCAAGTGTTGTTCAGTCATGAATATTTAAATAGATTGAAACCAGTTACATACGGGATGAAAAGAGCTTTATTACCAACAGTTGGTGCTGCAGATGAAGTAAATGCATATAGAAACAAAAAGACTGGCTTTTACCATGCCTCATTTCTACTTCTTGCATGCTTTATGAAAGACAAAGATATGAAAACTCATCCGTGTGTGGATCAGTAGCTCTCCATGCTAAAATTTCAGCATACATAATAGCATGGCTCAGGAATTATTGCTACATTGCCAAATGAGAACTTGTAGCAGTTAAAACAAAATATTAAAGTTATGTACTGTTATACACTTAACATGATTTGAGTGTTTTGCCGTTTTAGACATTAATGTCATTTTAGTGACATATTATGTATATAGACTTACTACTGCCACAATAGCCCCTTTTGGGAATGTCATCTATTGCATGGTAGACAGTTCCAGATGCTTCTTGTAGAAAAGCTTGGGGACCCAGCTGTGGGTTGCGCTTTAATGGAGGTGGGGAAGTTAACCAGCTGTGCATTTGCCAAACCAAACGGTTGGAACTCATCCTTAAAGCCATCTCCACTGTAAAACCATAAAAT